TTTATTTTGCCATTTAAGAACGCAGTTTTCACATCTAATTGGTTGAAATAAAAATTGAATTGATTTCCCACTGATAACAGTGTTCTTATTGTTGTCATTTCTGCAATAGTGAATAGATTTGGTCATAGTCAAAAGATTCCCTTTGTGCAAAACCTATCACTCGAGCCTCAAATTGATCTTTTATTTGTTCTTCTAATGGTTTCTTGGTGAATACCCATTTTTTATTCAATATTTCAGCATTCTTGGGAGTTTCCATTTCTATCCATGTTTTATTCTTTTCAATTGAATCAATTTCTCTTGTCATTGCTTCTCTCCATAAGTCCTTATCTCTTCTATCAGTCAATTCTTCCACTGTTTTAGGAACAGTACTCGTCTAGTTCTTGGTCCTTGTATTTCTTGTCTTCTATCGTCTATTTCTTCTTCTTCTTCTTGTATATCCTGTCTCTCTTCCTGTATTTCTTGTTCATCTTCCCTTTTTTTTATTATTACATTTTCATTATCAACATTCGTTATATTTCTTTCTGTCTCTGCTCCATCATTTTTAAAATAAAATTCATTCTCGTTGAAGATTACATCTCTTGCAATGACTACCTTCTGCACCATAATATCCCAAAGTCTATATCCTGTTACTGTATATCCAATCATCAAGCACTTCTTTGCCTTCGAATCAAACTTACTTCTAAAGTGTTTTGGAACATGACAATATGCTGTAGAGCCAAAAACTTTCATATTACTATTATCCATTTTTTAAAATTAAGTATTCCATATTTCAGCTGTTGTAACTTTTAAAACACTACTTGAACTTCTATTGAGAATATATGCCAGTGTGCGAACTAGCTATTTCGCGCACTAGGGTGCGAAATAGCTAGTTCGCACACTGGTGTCATGGGAACGTTAAAAAATCAATACCTGGGAAAAAAAGTATCACTTCGCAAACTGTCATGAGTGTGCAAACATCATCATTTTTTGACAGTTGTAGAAAAAATATTTTTAATTGTACATGTTACATCTTTTTCGTTTACGTTACTCAATACTTCAATATTACCTGCTCCAACTGCCTCCATATAATTATTGTTTTTCGCAACAGCAATTTTAATAGGATTTTTCAATTTCATAAAATCATAAAAATATTTCTTATCATTAATCAAGTGATCAGTAGATCCCGAGTCAATATAAAATAACACATTTTTGCAGCCTTCTAAATTTAAATCCAAATATGACATAAAACTGAAACTCACTCTGTCCTGCTTTCTCTGTCTTTTCCATATAATTTGCATCTCTATCATTGTTCCTGTTTCGATATTCATTACCATTATAATTTCTTCTCTAACCAGTTCCTCTATAGTCTGTTCCTCTGTAACCATTTCGATTATAACCATTTCCTCGAAAATTTCTTCTAAAACCTCCAAATCCTCGATTGCTACCTCGAGCTTTGTCAAAACCACCTTGTTCAACACCACGACCAAAACTTCTGTGTCCTCTGAGTAGATTATATACTGGTCTTTGATTTCTACAATCTTTCTTACAATGGCCCCTTTGGTCACAGGAGTAACATACACCTGATTGGTGGGTTGAAAAGAATGATGGGGTTACATTGTCTTGTCTGTCACTGCAACTTGCACTACTAGCTTCGTATAATGCTTTTCTTCTTTCAGCTCCGGCTCTCAACTTAGCTTTGACCAAACTCATAGTTGAATCTTGTGGTAGTACATTTTAGTATGACTGTTTCGAACGCTTTGGGCATAGCAAGCAACAAAGCATAAACTACATCCTGTTCTTTTAAATCCGCCCTTGTAGCATTTAACTGCCTTATGACTTCATCATATTCAGACAAAAATTCTTCAAGTTTACTACCGTCCAGAAGCTTGATCGACATTAATTTCTTTCTAAGGATCAACTGGCCTGGAATGCCTTTTTTTCCATGTCTTTCTTCTAGGCTATTCCACATACTAAAAGCTGTCGCTTTTCATCTAATTTGCGAATCATCTAAGCATTGTACAATTATAGACTTACATTTATTTTCTTTCTTCCTTGCTTCAGCCAGCAGTTTATCATTACTATAATTGGATTCATTAAATTCGTTTTCAATGCACTCTAAAACATCCTATACTTACAACACAATAGGATAAGCAAAAAGTTTCAGCAGGAGGATTTTTTAAAATTATTTCAATCTAACCGTATCTACAGGTCACAGATACTTTTCAATTGATGGTAAACTTAACTGAAATTAGTGAACAAAGTATTTAAGTTGTTCTAACAAACCTTGGATATTCTGTTATGACTCTACAAGACAAGTACCTAAATCGATGGGAAACGATCACAACTTAGGTTACTCGACTATTTTTTTAACTCGGCTGCGCCTCGTTAAAAAAATCAGATCTCGATCACCAAAGTAGCAAAATTGAAACGAGCCTAATCAAATGCTTGTTTCAGTTGATGTAAAATCGATTAAATGATGTCATTTTTATTATGTACTAAAATATTTTTGTTGCGTATTTTTGTAATTTTGGTTCTACCCTTCGAGAGTTTCTTACTTAACTCTTTTATCTCACAATTATCCTTTATGGTGTCTTTTATAACTTCCGCATTGTACTTTCTATCATCTTTCCTGATTTATTTTTTAACCTGCTTGTTACCTATTGGTCGGTTGTTTCTTCTCTTGTATATAAATATACAGGGTGAGTCCGAAATAAGTGCGCATTTTTTTAGGATAGATAGAGTACAGTAGGACAATCACTCTTTGCATAGGTACAGGATGCTGCAATTTGGAGTGTTTTAACAGGAAAAAAATACTTCCAACCCAGATAGAGAAAAGATGTCATGGGATCGATTTCCGAAAAACGTCGATTATCAAAAACCGTATCGCGATATCTTCAATGGTACCATTGATACAGGGTGATTTTCGATTTGCTCCTATTCTAAAAAATAGCTATAAGTTTTTTATTTATCAATTTTTTTCATTTCTGTGAAAACATTTTTCGGGTACTTATTTGAACACAATCCAGTGGCGTACTCATTTTTTTCTATAAGTGATCATTTCGGAGAAAAATAATGAAGTTCTGTTTTTTTATATGAAAACTATAGTTGGCCATGACCTCAAAAAAACCGCCCTTTTTTGTGCTTTCCAATGATACATAGTTTCCAGTATTTGTTCCCAAATTTTACGGTGATACAGAGGTTTTTTCTCGGGTTTTTTCATATTTAGTATAGTAGGCTATGACATTAAAAAAAAATAATTCATACGACAATCATTCGTCAAGTTCTTATGGAATAAAAATTAAGCTAGATAACTGATAATTACTGATATATAAGTAATCAAAATAAAGAACAGAGAAAAATTACAAAGAACAAATAAAATAGTGACGAGCAAAGAAAATTAAGAATAACATTTTTACTTTGTTTTTATGTTCAAAGTTGGGCACCTCCCTGTGAGGTCACATGATCTAGCGGGCAAAGCTACAAGTCTAATAAAACCAATCCAATTTTGACCAATTTCCTCATTTAAAAGAGTAGTTGTATCTCTTGTTTTGTGCGGAGGAGCACCATCATGCTGATAATAAATATGCTCTAATTGTCTTAGGGAAAGATTATCAAAAAATGGTATAACATATGTCTGCAATATATGGATATAATCCTGGCCATTTAACTTTTCATCATAAAAATGAGGACCCACAAACCTACTGAGGAAAACCACCTATCTAAAATATTATTTCTTCAAATCTTAACTTTTTAAAAAAACGTTTACTGAATAAAAATAAATGTTGCAACCGTGTAATACGCCGTCAAGTAGGGACGAACCTAGAGGCACCACAGAAAAAGTCTGCGAACGGGAGACAGAAGGGAATATGCAACTAGACTACAGAGGAAGCTGGGCTGGTCCTTTAGACGCGTGTCTGTAATTATCCACTATTCAATTTTCATTTTTATTTTGCATTAAAATTGATTGTTCAATCCAATTTGTTATTAGTGTGTGTGTGTAAGGAGCGTTCACAGGTTAGCGGATTAAATGTTATTTTGTTTTTGAGATTTCAATTTATGCAAGTGCCTATTATTTTGTTCATTTTTATGTATTTTTTGTTTGTTTATAACATTTTTTTATAACATGTGCATTGTTCATGTATTTAACAAAAATCGTTTCATACTGTAAACAACACAGATAAAGAAGTAAATTAAAATCTAAGAAATTATGTGCTGTCTTTTGTGCTGAGATTTTGATTTTGTGTATTCAGAGGCATTCAGAGCGTGTATTAGGGCCTTGTTGAATTTACTAACATTTTCCTACCCTGACGAGAGAATATCCTAACAAATTGAAATAATCAATCTAGAGATATTGGCTCAAAAACAACTATAGCTGAATAGCTTCCCGTATGGGACCTCAGTATCCGCTGGGAAACTGGCTAACTACCAAAAAAACTCTTCAGTATTGAATATAGGTAGTGTTGATTGAATGTTGAGTGTGTAATTGAAATTTAAGCACAAGAACAGGGGCGGTACTTAATTTAAACTTTTATTGACTTAAATTATTGAATTATTGACTCACAATAATTATTATTTAGAATGACTTAGTATGTTTCGATTTTTGAGGAATGTTAGACCGAGAGTTTATCTGCCGTTCTCTTTTCCCTCAAGAATTCCAGGTCGAGAACGGTACGATTTACTTTAATAATAAAGTAGACGTTTCACAAATTTTTCGTTTCTTTTACATATCACAACTTCCCTTAAATTTCCCAAATATTTGCTATGTCGGGCGCATGTCCAGTAAGTAAAATTGAGTAAGTTTCCACAACGTAGGTCCTATTTTTTTCTTCATTTCGTTTTTCAGAAGATTTGTTGTTTAAAGGTAATAAAAATTCTCATCGTTCAATCTTACCGAACGAACCCGGGTATGTTATACTACACTACCCAGAAATATGCCTACCCAAACATTAAAACCAAATCGGCCTTGTCGATTTTGTTCAATTGTCACATGAGGGTTTTCAGTGCACCATTGGTATGTATACCTATCTATTTAATTTGCCAGAGCTTTGAATCCTAGCTTCACCAGTCCATACAATATTTGATGGAAAATCAGCATTTTGCTTAGAGTTTTCCGTAAACCACACACTGAATCTCAGTCTACGAGCAAGATTATCATTGCGAAGTTGATGAACTCTTCTTGCTTTGTAAGGCTTGAATTTATGTTTTTTCAGAGTTTTCAATTTTTTTTTCTGACCAACGGTTGTAACGTTTTCCAAAATCCGCAAAGAAGTGTTTGGACGTTCTATTACCTTAAAAAATAGTTATTTTCCAAATAAATTTATTAACCTAGTAATTTTTACCTCTTCTAACACATTTAGCTCTTGAATTTCATTTTCTTCAATGTTGTAATTTCTGGGCCTAGGTAGTTTGAAACTGCCATGCTTAATTAAATTATTCTTTAAGTTTTTGAACATTCGAAGTTTTTCAAAATTTTCATACATTTCACACAACACACAAATCTTAACATTAGCAAAAGAACATTTCAAAAGTTTTATTGACAAGGTTTTTGTTATGCGGTTGCCAAACCAACGAGAGATTGACATATGAACATTTTTTAATTCTCAGAGCCTACATACTACTTAAATATGGAAAAAACCTCTCTATCACCGTCAAATTTGGTAATAAATACCGAAACAGAAAACTATATATCATTGGAAAGCACAAAAAATGGCGTTTTTTTTTGAGGTCATCTATGGTTTCCATATAAAAAAAAACAGAACTTCATTTTTTTTCTCCGAAATGATGACTCACAGAGAAAAAATGAGTAGGTACGCCACTGGATTGTGCTCAAAAAAGTATTCCAAAAATGTTTCTACAGAAATGAAAATAAAATGATAAATAAAAAACCTTAGCTATTTTTCAGAATAGGGGAAAGTCGAAAATCACCCTGTATGAATGGTACCATTGAAGATATCGCGATACGGTTTTTGACAATCGACGACGTTTCTCGGAAATCAATTCCATGACATTTTAGTCAGTTTTTCTCTTCCTGGGCTGGAAGTATGTTTTTCCTGTTGAAACACTCCAAATTGCAGCACCCTGTACATGTGTCCACAAACGTCTCGTTAGGAAAATACAGAGTGTTGAAATTTTCAGAAAATTTTCACTTTTTGCCTTTAGATTCGAAGTACCTTGAGCGATTTTGTTCAATTTTCAGAGAGTATATTTGCAATGCTCTCAAGCATCTTTCTAAAAAATCCGTTTGAGTTCCACTTTTCCAGGATCGGACCTAGAGCGACTCTTATTTCTTAAACAGAGTGGAGTGTATCGAACAACGAGATTTTCCAAACAATACATTAATATTTATTTTTTATCTCGTAAACGTCGCATCGAACAAAAAAAAACTCGGGATACCTTTTTTGTTTAAAATTAAACAAGGAATCAACAAATAATTTTTAATTTGTCAAAAAACGAAGGGGCGTACCAATTTTTTCTTTAAAATAAAATAAGAGTCGTTCTAGGTCCGGTCCTGGAAAAGTGGTACTTAAAAGGATTTTTTAGAAAGATACTTCGGAACATCGCAAACACTCTGAAAATTTGAACAAAATCGCTCAAGGCATTTTGAATCTAAAGGCAAAAAGTCAAAATTTTCCGAAAATTCCAACACTCTGTATTTTCTTAACGAGACGTTTGCGGATGCATGTACCCATGCAAAAAGTGATTGTCCTACTGTACTCTATCTATCATAACAAAATGCGCACTTATTTCGGACTCACCCTGTATTATAAAGTGTTAGAACTGTAAAGGACTGAAGGGTGATGTATAATTTTTCATATGTTTTCCATTGTTGGCTTGACAAAAAAAAATACCAAGAGGTACGCAAATAGTCCCTAACAAAAGAAAAAAAATCAATTCTGAGTTCGAGCCAAAGCAAACAGTGGTTTCTAATCTTATTTTCTGACTTCAGACTCAAACTGCAGCAAATATTACCTACTACAAGTATTTAACTTCGACATCGTTCCATTTTATGTAAAAAAAAATAACTCGGCGAATTATTTTTGCTCTCGTATTACTACAGAATATATTTATTGAATCCATATAGTTTCTCAATCACGTGAAAACATCCCTAGGAGGTTAGCCAAACAAACCCAAGCAGCCTACCAATTTTTTGCCGCCAAGTGAGAAAGTTCAAATTCTAATTCGAAATATATCCCTTAATTACACCAACAATTTACTTAACTAGAACAGCTATTTTTATCCACAAAATCTTTTTATAAGACACACCCCATGTAAAACCATATCTTTGACATCAAAACTTACGCCGAACACATGGTCGGTGACAGTCGGGACTGTAATTTGGGCTTCCAAGAAGAACTTCTGGTTTGTCGGCACGTCACCGATCATTCAGCTTTTCACAGAAAACCATATGTGTGCTTATATATGTGATAAGGTAGTTGCCCTTTTATCTTCTCGTTTTTTGCCACCCAGTCGAATGATGTTCGGTAACGATTAGTTTTATTTTCTTTCCTTTTTCATTCTTGACAGGGATCACTGAAATCCAAAATGCTTTGATTGGCTATTAAAAAAAACAGTCGTAAAATCGCATAAGAATCCATGCAGAGTAAGCTGTTATTCAAGGCTATAAAGACGCTTAATGAGTTTTCATGCCTTTTAGACCCAAATTTATAGCAGGACCCAAGGGAATTTGCTGGTTGATACGACTTCTTTTTTTGAAAGCGTCTATCTGAATGCATTTTAAATATCAATAAACATCAACCCTCTATAATTTATATTCAATTATCTCCAACATCATATCCATTAATCTCAACTTTTTCCCGTAAACATCGCTGTCTCCTCGACTCATTCTATCCAAAATTCTTCGGGAAATATCCCCCACGTCCCTATTTGCTTTTAATCGCAGGATTGTTGTACTATAATGACATACTGAAATAACCCTCCAAATCCTTGGGAGATGTCGGGGCTTTGGCAAATGTCAATTGCAGATTGAAAGTGCTTTGGGGTGAGCTGAAAAATTATTATTTGGAAAACTCGGTTATAGTTCCGGAACAAAACCCTCAAAAGTATTAAGCTCGTACTTATAGTCAGAAGAAAATTGGCTCACGATTGAAATTGGTAAGAGGTACAAATCGATTAAACGATGAGACAAAAACTATAATTAAGGTAAGGAGTAAATATATTTGAACACAGATTAGTAGGTTCTCACAAAGAATTCGTGTATAATGCCAAAATAATAAATTAATGTTTACAAATAATTTTCAATGGTACATTGAAGAGTAGCAATATTCGAAATTATTTACTGCCAATGTATTGAATTTTTGTATCTACAACCTAAATATTTGTGTTTGCGTCAAAATTAGACCGGAGTTACCCAATTCCTTAATTCTTAATATTTGTCCTTAATTCTTAATTCTTAAAAAGTTCAATTTATTTAACATTGGGGTTTTTAAAGATTAAGCATTAAGAACAAAAATTAAGAATTAAGGAATTGGATAACCCCGGCCTTACTCTTTTCCATCGCTACTGGGTACTGGGTGGTTAATATTTTGCGTTGTAGACCTTCGAAACCCATTAGATCAATCAATCAATAATTAAGTCTCCAGCAATTATCACAACCAAGGCTATGAAGCATCTTCAAAATTTAACAATACCTATTTATTTCCTATCCAAAAAGATGGAATGCAGACTTTAAAATCAAATATATCCAAGGTTCTCAGACATGCCAATTATCTAATTAAAATATGTAATCGTTTATAAAAAAATTCTCCTTTTATTTTGGTAAATTATTTACACAATTTTATGTTTATTTTCAAATTGGTTGTCAAGGTTCTACCGGTAAGAGCTTCTTGCGCAAAAATCAGAACATGAAAGAGTTAAGAGTCCCTTTATTCCCGACTACATTATATGTAAATTTGTCGCTCGTATAGTCAACAATTCAACCGTCTATTGAAAAAAACAAAGCACCAAACAGTACTTCCATCTTCCGGACCTTGGGATATTCATTATTTATATACCTGATAAAGAAGAATACCGGAGAATGAATCATTTATGATGCTCTATCAACCAATACCTTTTGTATTTTTGAATATAAATTTCAATGAAATTGACTTTTATTATCTGCCTGTAAATCAAAATTTGTTCGATCAGATTTTTCTGTCTTGTATAATAATAATACGTAAGTATTTCAGCGGAAGAACCAAAGAATGCCATCCTGGGAACCGTTCCGTTTATGCCTCTGAAGAAACCGCGTCTACCATATATTTTATTTATCGACCGAACTAAGTAATAGCGGAATCCCGTTTAAGCGTAGATACATATTTATGAGGCAAATCATATCCATAATACCTAATTATAAAAAGACCGAAAAATTGTGTCATCGTTTAAATTAATCACAGTGAGTGAATGAATTGATAGTATGTGTAGTATGGGTATCCTTAGAAAAGTCTTAATTAACAACTTTAAATTAACAACCTTCAAAGGTTGCTTGTTTAAAGCGCACGTGGCTTGATTAAGATCTTCGTTAAACGTATTTGTCATTTTATGTAAATTGGATAAAACAATACATTTAGATATAAGCATACAATTGAAACAATTTTAAAGGAAAAAAAAAACAAAGGATTATTCATGATGCATTTTAGGATACACAGTAATAATTATCAACCAGATTCTTCTAGAAGAGTAGGTAAGCGTAGTTATTTTGAACAAAATACGTTCAATAAAGGAAAATATAATTATTGTATCAAGAGCTACTTTTATATCCAGCGATATGTGTGTATTATAATGAATTATTACTAGCTGAATAAGCCATACAGAAATTAATTTGAATAAGGGACGATACTGCCAACATTTTTATCGAATCCTACCAACAAAAGTCAGTTCATCTCCTAACTAGAGACAAACCTTCAGGACAATGGGATACAGACTTTCCAGGCGACAGATGATGTTGACGTCCTTATCGTGAGACGGCTGTGAAACATTCCAAGCACAGTTCTGTATGCTGTCATTGGTGAGGATATAGACGTTGCTGTTCTTTTGATAGTATTCCATTTCTCCCTCTCAAGAGTCCCAAGACATCCTGCTGCTGGAAGCCAGTCGAGGCTGAAAAGGTTGTGAAGATGTGCCTAATCAAATGATATGGGGCACCAGCAAGCCAGACTTTCCTCAACAAGTACCGCTTCCAGTCGTTCATGAGTTCAGTAGCAAATACTAAACCTGACATCAGCTCCCTCCAACCAAGTGCAGCAGTGGCTCGTGACTGAGCTGCTTATCTCAAGAGGAGAGGTGGCAACGTGTAGGAAATATCCAGGGGCTAATTATATCAGGGGTTCCACCAACACACTGAAAATGATATTTTGCTGCTGCACCATTAATTGTGGTAGTGGCAATTTTAGATCCTGCAAAAGCAATGCTCAACTGTTCTATAGCGTGCCTATTGACGACAAGAACGCCGATGAAAATAACGTAAAGCTCCTTCAGTAAGAAC